TGACACAATGACTATGCAAATGACACGAAATTTATGTGAACCAGTTTGATGAAAGTGTTTCAAAATGTATGTGAAAACACTACACTGTACCCCCTGTTTGCATTAATGTATAGAGCTATCATTTAATAAAAAAAAAAAAGGAAATAGCAGATGTTAACAAATGTAAGAATATACCATGCTCATAGCTGGTAAGAATCAACATTGTTAAAATGTTCATACTACCCTTAACAATCTATAAGACTTAATGAAATCCCCATCAAAGCACCAATGACATACTTGAAAGAAGGTGAAAAGGCAGGGCACGGTGGCTTACGCTTGTAATCCTAGTACTCTGGGAAGCCTAAGTAGGTGGATTGCCTGAACTCACAGGTTCGAGACCAGCCTGAGCAAGAGCGAGACCCTGTCTCTAAAAATAGCTGGACATTGTGGCAGGCACCTGTAGTCCTAGCTACTTGGGAGGCTGAGGCAAGAGAATCGATTGAGCCCAAGAGTTCAAGGTCGTTGTGAGCCATGATGCTATGACACTCTACTGAGGGAAATAAAGTGAGACCTGTCTCAAAAAATAAAATAAAATGAAATAAAATATAATAAAATAAAAATGTGAGAAAAGGCTCAGTGCCTGTAGCACAGTGGTTATGGCACCAGCCACATAAACTGAGGTGGCAGGTTTGAACTTGGCCCAGCCTCCCTAAAAAAACAGTGACAACTTCGAACAAAAAATAGCTGGGCATTGTGGTGAGCACCTGTAGTCCCAGCTACTTGGGGAGCTGAGGCAAGAGAATTGCTTAAGTCCGAGAGTTTGAGGTTGCTGTGAGCTGTGATGCCATAGCACTCTACCGAGGGCGACATAGTGAGATTCCGTCCAACTCCCCCCCCCGCCAAAAAAAGGTAAAAAATAGTACTTTGGTTCATATGAAACTGGAAAAAACCCTGAATAGCAAATACAGTTCTTAGAAATAAAAACAAATCTGGAGGCATCATGTTACCAGATTTCAGGTTATACTACAAATCTATAGTGATCAAAATAGCATGGTACTAACACAAAAATAGAGATGTAGATCTATAGAATAGAAGAGAGAATCTAGAAGTGAATCCAGCTACTTATCATCATTTGATCTTTGGTAAGCTTAACAAAAGCATGTACTGAAGAACAAAATCCCTAATTAAACAAATGGCGGTGGGAGAACTGGTTAGCCACATGTAGAGGTCTGAAACTGGACTCATACCTCTCACCACTAACAAAAATTGATTCTTAATGGATAAAGGATTTAAATTTAAGATATGAAATAATTAAAACTCTCAAAGAGAGTATGAAGGAAGTGATTGAAGATAGTGGCCTGGGAAGAATCTTTATGAGGAAGACCCCCCTGGCAATTGAAGCAACATCAGAAATAAGAAACAGGGATGTGATCAAGCTATACAAAGCTTCTTCACAGCTAAAGGGATATTTTTTACCACAGAGCACACAGCCAGCCTTCAGAATGGAAGAATATTTTTGCATTTTATGAAACTAACAAAAGCCTGATAACTAGAATTTACAAAGAAATCAATTGAAACAATAAGAAAAGAGCAAATAACCCCCTCTATAAGTGGGCAAGAGACTTAAACAGAAACATCTTCAAGATGACAGATAAACGGCCAACAGACACATGAAAAAATGCACATCATCTTTAATCATCATAGAAATGCAAATCAAAGTTATTCTGAGATATCATCTAACCTCGGTGAGAATAGCCCACATCACAAAGTCTCAAAGCTGCAGATGCTGGCATGGATGTGGAGAAAAGGGAACACTTCTACAGTGCTGGTGGAATTGCAAACTGATAGCAACCATTATGGAAAGAAGTAGGGAGAATCTTCAAAGATCTAAAAGTTGACCTTCCATTTGATTCCACAATCCCATTACTGGGTATATGCACAGAAGAACAAAAATCATTTTACCACAGTCTGGATTTTAAATTCCAGCTGAATATTCACTCCTTCAGATGCCTGTATTTTCAGCATTTGCAGGGTAGTCATCTTGTTTCCTATAATCAACTCTGCTATGATCATTCTTGCAGGATCCTTTCCTTGAGACAGTCACACAGAAGCAGAATTACTGGCTCAAATGAGAGGCAGATTTTAGGGTTTCTAACCTGGTGACACTCAGGGGTTGGTTTTCATGGTATTTGTTCATTCCAGGATCTCTTACCTCACCCTGCATCAGACAGAGTCTCAGGCTGTGGCTCCTGGTGTGCATGTATCATGGGAAGCAGGTGCTGGCTCCTGCTCTTGGGTGAGTGGAACAACAAACTCCTTGCCTTCTCTTCCTATCCCCTGCTGTCCTAGCTGTGTCTGATCCCACATTAGGCACTTTCCCCAGCCATAACTTGGTGTGCTTGTCTTGCATGAAACTCTCCTCCTCAGTCTCCTGGGATGGGCAGCTCCCCAGAGCAGAACTGAGGCAAGAACTTGCATGTGTGTTTATTTTGGAGGAGATCCCAGGAAGTACCAGGACGAGCCTGGGGGTATCACAGGGGGAAGAGTGAAGAGCCAGTGAAGGGTGCTTTAATGAGAGGTGACCCCTGTACAGGTGCAGAAGCTGAGGGAGAATTACCACATCCATGATGACTTCAGGATTCTCACAGTCCATGCTATGCAGATCTCTCTGACAACAGAGGAAGCCCTAGTTCCTAAAGGTTAAGGTTTCACCATCCCATACCACAGCCACCAGCCACAGGCTGCTACTGAGCACCTGAAATGTGTCCTGTGCCAATGGAGGGGTGCTATGCATGCAAAACACAGACCAGGTTCCAAAGACCTAATACACACATCAGGCATTAATAATTTATCAATCATTTGTTTTATATTAATTATGTGTTAAAATGAGAACATCTTGGCTGTATTGAATGAAGTAAACAAATTATTGAAATTAATTTCACTCATTTCCTTGTTTTTATTAAATGTAGCTACTAGAAAATTTAAAAAGACCCTATGTTGTTTACGTTATATTTTGTTAGTGTGGGGTCTGAGATCTGGTCTGATAAAGACAAACTGTGGAATATGGAAAGGAGATTGCAGATGACCTTTGGCACTAGACTAGGTGGGAAAGTTGAAATAGCTGCTGAGCTTGGGGAGTTGGCCCCACCACTTCTGTCAGATGTGCCTCTCCTGCTTTAGTAGCATGTCATGTTCCCTCCCATGACCCCTGCGTTAGAGCCTGCCTGGCAGAATCTACAAGGAAGTCACACACAGGACTGGGCAGAGGGCTAGGGTTAGTTACCCTAACTAGCCTTCAGCCATCCCCAGCCCTGGGAGCCCTGTCTGAATTATCCTCTCCTCTCTCTGTTCTAGGTCTCAGTGTCTTGTTGACTCTGTCAGGATCAGAAGCTAAGAACTCTAGAGGTGGGTGTACTCATAGCCAAAGGCCAGTGGAGAGGAAGTTGGGATCTGGAGACCTCTTTTATGGAGGGGAAAGGGCCCTTTACAAAAAAGGCAGTGCCAAGTCTCTGGCGTTTTCCACCTGCTCCTTTGAGCTCCTGAGGGCTGTTCACTTTCTCTGTTATACTTTCATAACATGCATTTACTTAGCTAAGTGAATCACATGAACCATCTCATTCAATTCTGGTGACACACTTACAAAGAAGGTGCAGGCACTGGCCAAGGTCCTCTGGAGAAGGGGCTAGCTCAAGGGCACACAACTAGTGGATGCTGGACTCTCACCTTCTTTACCCAAACCTCTCTCCTATGTCATTGCTCAAAATTCTCTGCCTTTACTCCACATCTTAAATTGAGGTTCCACCCAGAATTAGATCCTGAGAGTAAGTCATGTTTCTGGGAGGAAATGCCATAAAGTACCACTTGGGAGTAGACAATGGGTTAGTGACATCGGAAGTGGAGAAGGTGGCATAGGATCCATTGTCAGGTGAGTTACATGTGGGCACCTGGAGCTCGGCCAGGAGAACCACTGAACATAGTGTGGGGCACATACCATAGAAAAATCCCCCCAGTGGGTAAGGAAGATGTCCTGTTATTATTACTGAACTTGTAGTAAAATGTATAGAACATAAAATTTACCTTTTAAGCATTGTCAAAGGTACAGTTCAGTGGCACTAAGTGTGCAGCCGTCACCACAATCACACAGAATTCTTTCCAATTGCAGAATTGAAACTCTGTCCCATGAAGCACTAACTCCCATAAAGCCTCTCTGCAGCCTTGGCACCCACCATTGTACCTTCTGTCTCTGAGTGTGACTCTTCTGGGGACCATGTGTAAGCAGAGTCACACAGTGTTTGTCCATTTGTGACTGGCTTATTTCACTGTGGGAAATGTCCTCGAGGTTCATGTATGCTGTTGAACGTTTCAGAATTCCTTTCCTTTATGAGGCTGAAGAGCACTCTATTGTTTGGTTATCCCACACTGTGTTTACCCATCCATTCATCAGTGGACATCTGGGTTGTACATAACAGTTGCCTATTATGAGTGATGCTGCTGTGAAGGAGTGTGCAAGCATCTCTTCCAGATCTTGATTTCAACTCCTTTGGGCATACACCCAGAAGTGTGATTGCTAGATCATATGGTAATTTTGTAATTCTACATTTTGATTTTTTTTATGAAAAGTATTTCATTTTTTTATTAAGTCAAATACACATAGATCATGAATACATTCATGCGTATGTGGGGTACAATGTGCTGATTTCCTTTAATGCAATCTGATGTGGTTAGATCAAACCAATCAACCTATGTTTTGATATCTTGAGGAACACCCAGACTATTTTCCATAGACGCTGCCTCATTTTACAACCCCCAGCATGGCACAGGGTTCTAGTCTCTCCACATTCTCACCAACACACATTATTTCCTAATGGGTTACTTTCACATTAATGAAACTGAGTTTTTTGTAGACTGACTCCTGTCAGTCACTGATGGAAGGTCCTGCTCCTGAAAGGGAAAACAATGCCTACCTGCCAGGTGGGACTGCCAAATGGTGGCCAGAGAGAGCCCTCAGGGGCCCCAGGACACAGGTTCTGGGACTCAGAGGCCAATTGTCAGGCCCAAGTGGTGTTGGTGGCAGAAGTGGGATCTTCTGGCACTGTACACATCTGTGCCTAGCAGTGGGCTGGGTGGGAAAAGGATACCAATAGACCTATTCCCAGGAGGACAGCCTTCTGATCACAGGATCTGGTAGACTGTAGGTGTTTAATGAATATTTCTTGAATTCATGAATTAGCAAATGAAGACACTGTGTTCCCTGCAGCCTGCTGTCCTCAATGCCCTGAGCATGCTGTCTGCTATAACAGCACCCACTGTGCCTGTGAGGATGGATTCCAGACCAGGTCTGGGAGGAGACACTTTTACAGCTCCTATGACACATGTGAAGGTAACAATATTATTTATAAGATTTAATTTGATCCCTCATTAGTGATAACCATTCTAGTCTTTGTGTCCTATGTTGAAAGCACATAAATCCAAAGACCAAATGAAACCCATAGTTCTTCAGCCGAGTAACTGATAAGGACCATCTCCTGGGTGGGTGTGTCTGTCCCCATGTCCTTCAGACAGAGGGAACAAATGTGAATTCTTGCTTCAGGGCCCCTTCTGAGGACTTGAACCTCAATTCTGCTCCATCAGCAGGAAAGGTGATTAGACAGAGATGCAGGTCATGCAAACAGTGAAAAGCCAAGATATGGCTAGTGTGGTTCTGCCACCCGGCTTGCAAACTTTTCTAATAATATTAACTTGCCCAGTATTTATTTCTTTGTTACTCACTGTATGTTTCATATTGATTAAACAAATTTGAGATTCACCATTAAATATAAACAACATTCTATCCTTACCTCAATGATTTGACACAGCCACTATACTGTATTCTAATGCTCCATATATTCTTGAGTCTATTTCTGGACTTTTAATCCACACAATTAGTCTATTTTTTATTTATTCAGAAATTGGCCCCTCACAGCTTAGTCAAAGCTTTTTAGTAAGTTTCAGTATCTGGTTTCCACTTTGTAGTTTTTCTGCCTATTCTTGCATAATGGTATCAACTTGTCTCACTTCATAAAATACATGTGGGTTAGTTTATTGGAGTCATGCTGGGTTTATATAGAACATAGAATGGATGTCCCTTTACCACATTGATTCCTCCCACCCAAGAACAGGCAGAAAGTGTTACCTGTGTGTGATTAGGAATAATGTTTGACAATAAAGATTCCAAGGGCATAGTTCTATGAAAATGAAAAACAACAATATTTTCTCTTGATTCACCCATACTGATCAGTCTGAGACTGGGCTGGCAAATTAAAAGTATGGAGCATATTGTAAAAACAAAAATTTACCTCTGCAGTTGTGTGGTGAAGTATTCTTACTTCAACTGGGTGACTGGTTTGGTTGACACCAATCACCCAGATGGTTATTGTAAGAACCTCTCAATACTCTTTGCTCCACAGAAAAGGAAAGGGATATGAAGAAGTAATTGGGGGAGAGAGGGCTACTTATTTACAGCCAGGGTGAGAGAGCAGAGCTCTGTCCTAACCCACAGCCCTCATTCCATGTAATCCTTGTTTTCCAAGAAGATGCTATTAAAGCCGACGACATAAACAATCACCTCTGTGTGGATACCTTATGATTTATGTCTCTGCACAGGTCTCTTTCCTGGCTTTCCAAAAGCACATCTTTAATTTTTTTGTGAACTAGCCTATTTATCTATCTCACACTCACCTTAAATTGAATTTCTACATCTGTCTGTCTATGCCATAAAGCTCATGAGTTCATGCTATCATCACTGATGCTAGTGCAACACCAAGGCGTGTCTCAGCCTTCCTTATCTGTAATTATTTTCTCCAACAATGAGAAGCTTTGCTTATTACTCACCATATATTTATTTTTGGTTAAACCCTAGTATAATTCAGTATTTTGAATTAGATGTATCGGATTTAAGTGCTTCCTTGTTCCCTTACTAGTTGGCATTCACTTAGTGATTTAATTTCTGTGTGACTAATGCGTTGCTGCATAACAAGTTACCCACCACTTTAGTTGCTTGAACAAAATGTTTTTATCATTTCAATGTTGCTATGGGTCCAGGTATGTCTTAGCTGGGTCTCTTGCTTCATGGTCTATCACAGTGGCCATCAAAATGTTTTCCATCTGGAGGCTTGATTAGGACTGGAAGTACTCCCACACTCACACGGTTGCTGGAAAGACCCAGCTCCTTAAGAACCATTGGACTGAAGGCTGCAGTTAATTTTTAGTGTTGTTTGTGAAGCAGTCATCAGTTCCTGGATATGTAGGCTTCTATCACTTGATTTGTTATATCAAAGACCTGAGCACAGCCAGACACTCTGATTAAGACAAAAGTCAGAGCCTTTTATAACTAAATCTCAGAAGAGACAAGTTATCAGTTTTGCTGTACTCTGTTCATTAGAAATAAGTCATCGGATCTGGTTCACAGACAATGGGAGGAGATTACACAAGAATTAGAACACTAAGAGACAGAGATATTTGGAATACATTTTGGAATCTGCTAACTGGATTGGGTACCGTTGCTCCCCCAAATTTATGTCTGCCTGGCACCTGTGAATATGATCTTCTTTGCAGTAGGGCTTTGCAGATGTCATCAAATCCAGCTCAAGTCAACTAGATTAGGGTGGACCCTGAATCTCACATAAATGGCATTCTCACAAAAAGAGGGAAATTTGGAAACAGACACAGACACACAGATAACAGGGCCAAGTGACACACAAACTGGAGTTGTGCTGTCACAACCCAAGGAGAGTCAAGGATTGCTGGTGACCACCAGAAGGTGGAAAATGCCAGGCAAGATGCTCCCTTAGAGCCTACCTTACAGGGAAGATGGCCCTGCTGACACCTGGATATGGCCTTTTTGATTCAGAACTATGAAATGGTAAGTTCATGTTGCTTGAAGCCACTCAGTATTATGAGGCAGCCCTATCAAGCTAATGTACCTCACCTGCTGGTAGGATCATTAGTGTGTGCAGGACACTTAGGAGGACTTGGCATCTGTGAAGGCTCAGTCAGTGCTATCTGTTATGCTTCCTGGGCTGCTATAGAACCTTCTGCATTCCCTTACACAGACAGTACAGATATGAGGTGTGTGAGAGGACAATGGCTTCTGTATTTTCAGCTCAGTTTACACTAATTCCTTCAGGGAGCCTTAATGCAACCTGCTATTAGGGCCCTCTGCTGTCAGCAATTCCTATTTATTGAGAGAGTCACTTGCAATTACTTCATTATTTATTTGGAATTATTTGCTTAATGCCTTTCCCTCCAGGCTGCAAACCCCACAGAGGCCACCTTTACCAACCTATATCTGTGTCATTTAGCACTGTGTCTGGTTCTGAGTAGATGCTCAATAAACGCTGTTGACTGAAGAATTAACCTGGAAGCCACATTATCACTCAAATTCCCTTCTGTAATCCCACTGCAAATACATTTTGGATTTCTTAGAGGAGAATTAGGATGTGCTACAGAAGTATCAAGGAAAGACCCAACTTGAGAGTGACTGGAAGAAGCAATGTGACCAGAGTAGGTTTTCTCCTATATGCCAGTTAATGACTACCTTTTCCTCCCACAGTGAAGAGTAGTGAAGAGATGCAATCAAATGTGAATAATCAGGTAAGTGGGGTGAGGCCTGAGTTTGGGAAACAACAGGTCTATCTCACCATATCATTCCCTTTTTGTAAGACTAGTAGGGTTCCTCATGATTTTTAGGATAGAATAATTCTCATCCATAGGTGATTTTGTCCTCAACCTCAAAAGTTATCTGTCAATGCCTGGGAGAATTTTCAGTTTTCACAATTTTAGATATAGGGGGAAGGTTTTCTGCTGGCATCCAGTTAACAGAGATCAAGGACACAGCACAATATCCTACAATGCCCAGGACAGTGTCCCACAACCAAGAAATGACTGCTCTCAGATGTCAGCAGAAATTAAGGCCCTCTGGGAAAGAGTGGCAATCCTCAGCTGTCATTTAAAGACTTGTGTCAGTGAGTACAACCTCACACCCACCATGCCTAGTTGCACCTTAATATATGTTGTCATCTGGGATTACCCCTACTACACTTTTGCAGATTCCTATTTCTCACATTTCACAGACAATCTACAATATTAGCTTTATTTCCTTAACAGGAAAATATGTGGAAGACTAGACACAGAAGGAGCTTTTCAAGAAAGTCTACACGAGTACTCAAGAGAGTAGAATTGAATGCATTGATCATAACTTCTGCTTCTCCAGGAATGGGTGGAAATTCTGTGTTTGATATAGGTAAGAGATGCTGTCTAGACTCCCATGACCTTCATAAAGAGAAATGTGTCTGTCATGAATAGGGCCTATGAATGATAAAATCAGTTAGTTCCCAGAACATTGTCTTCCATACTAGCATTACATGAGTAGGGCTCTGCTTTCAAAACTATAAATTCAAAGGACAAGAGAATAAATCAGCTCTCTTCCCTATTCCAACTTCCCTTAGTATGATGACATTTCCCTAAGAATATATCCACCATCTTACTGTGACTGGTAGAAAAGAAAAAACTTTGGGTTAATTTTCTATTCAACTCTCACATAGTCACTATAACAGAGAATACTTCATCTTTGGTCAGCAAAATACACGTGGATTTTTTTCTCCACACTAAACAAGCAGTTCTCCAGAAGATGACAGCTGGGTGTCCTAAAATGTAATTCTGACATTATCTACCTGGAGATAGCATCATATCCCACAGTCCAACGCCTTCATCTGTCAAAAGTACCCTCACGTCAGATGCCAATTGCAAGTCTTAGGATGTAACCTGTTTTCTGACTAAGTTTGGTCATAAATCAGAGGCCTGTGATCTCCCTTACTGAACTCAGGGGAGCACTTTACTTACATTTACCTGTTCATTATAAAATACATTACAGAAGATACAGATGACCAGCCAGATCAAAGAGATGAATAGAAAGGATGGGAGAAGATGATGTGGGGCTTCTAAGACATCTTTGGGCATGTCATACCCCAGGAATCTCCAAATTTTCAGATATTTAGAAGAATCTGGAAACATTTTTCCCCTGGATTTTGATGGGCACTTTATTACTTGTGCATAACTGATTACAGTATTTATCATTGGTATCAACTCAACATTCAGCATCCCTTCACTCACTGTAGGTTGGGTGAGGTGGAAATAAAAGTTCCAAACCTTTAATATCATGGTTGGTTTCCCTGACAAACAGTTCCCATACTGAGCCTATAGGGGCTTCCTAAAAGTTACCTCATTAAAACAGAGGATGCTACCATAACCCAGAAAATCCCAAGGGATTTAGGATTTGCATCCCATGCTTTGGATACTCCAAAAATTTCAAAGGTCTTAGGAGATATGTGTGTCAGAAACTTGATTCTAAGACCAAATGTCAGAATAAATGATTTTCCTCACGTGTCTATTGCTCAAGAAATTATAAAGGTTTTGAGTTTGGTGTCAAGGACTGGTTTCTCCTTAGTCTCTGTATCTATTAACCATTTCAAAGAACAAACTTTTGGCTTTTTTCGTATTTCTATCATTTTATGTTTTACTTTACATTGATTTCTGCTCATTATTTCAGTCTATGTTATATTTGATTTTTAATTTTCTTACTTGTTGGCTTGGTAGCTTACATCATTGATTTTTTAAGGCATGTGCTTTTTCTAGTGAGAACATTTAGAACTTCAAATCTGTCTATTACTTAGAGCTACACAATTCCCTGTCAGTACTTGTTTAGCTGAATTCTGAAAATTTCAGTATGTTGGGCTTGCATTATCCAGGAAAAATATTTTAACATTTTCTGTGTGAATTATCACATTTCTTATGGGTTATTTAGATGGCTATTTCATTCCCAAAGATATTAATTTTTTCCTAGGTGTCTTTGTGTTAATTGTGTCTGATTTAATTTTATTGTGGGTTTTTTATTTTTTTAATTCTTTATTAAATCATAACTGTGTACATTAATGCATTTATGGAGTACAATGTGCTGATTTGATATACAATGTGGAATGCCTACATCTAACTGATTAACATAACCATCTCCTTCCTTACTTATTTGTTGTGGCAGAAACATTCATACTTTATTCTTAACAGTATAGAAATGTATCATTGTATTATGCACATTAGGTTGGATCCCCAAAAATCCTTGATAAAAATCCACAATAAACCCTACTGAGGTGAGCTGCAATCCCAAGATTTATTGTGGATTTTTATCAAGAAAGTAAGCTGATCTTTGTCAAGTGCTTTTTCTACCTCAATTAAGATGATTGTATGGTTTTCAACTTTTGTTATGTTAATGTGATGGATCCCAGTAATTGATTTGAGTGTGTTAAACCAGCTTTGCATACTATGGATAAGACCCCCTTGATCATTATGTATAATTTTTTTTAATTTTCATTATGTATAATTTTTTAATGTTCTCTTTTCTGAGAGAATATCATTTAAAATTTCAGTTCTTTTGAATTCCTTTTGAATTCATTGAGACTTGTCTTATAGCCTATTTGACAAGTGTTCTAGGTGAACTTAACACCTGTATTAGCACACCAAATCAGGTGGTATAACATAGAATAAAGTGGCTTCAACGATGGCTTGACCATTAATTCCTTAATAGTTTGAGCCCAGGAGCCCAGGCTCTGTGCCTGTTTCATACAACTCTGTGCTCTTTCATCGCCATCACCCAACTTCCGTCTGTGTTACATGACTGCTCTACCCCCATATTCTCTTGATAGCCAATGGGAGAGAGAAAAGAGGGAAGGTAAAAGAATGCTCATTTTCTGTAGGATTCTGATATTCTAGACATTGGAGCAACAATATTTTCTCTTGATTCACAGATGTTGATGAGTATGAGGCTGGGATGTCAAAGTGCAAGTATATAGTATCTTGTAAGCACAAAATTGGAACTAGCACCTGCAATTGTGCTATGAAGTATCCTTACTTCAACTGGGTGGCTGGTTTGGTTGATATTGATCATGCAAATTGTGATGGTAAGTACCTCCCAATTCCCTTTCCTCCATGAAAAAGAATGAGGGGCACAAGTGGGGATAGCTTCTGAGAGCTATTGATTCCCAGCCGGAGTGAGAGAGGAGCTCTGTCCTAACCCACATCCCTCATTCCATTGCTGTCCTCATTGTCCAAGGAGATGTTATCCAACCCTATGACATAAACAACCACCTCTGTGTGGATACCTTATGATTTATGTCTCTATACAGGTCTCATTCCTGGCTTTCCAAAAATATATCTTCAATTGTTTTTGTGAGCTTCTCTACTTACTTATCTCTTACTAACACTCAAGTCTACTTCTGTGTCTGTCTGTCTATGTCCTAAAGCCCATGACTTCACGATATTACCTCTGCTGTGGGTGTAACACCAAGGCTTATCTCAGCCTTCCCTCTTTCCCTGTCTGCAACTTCTTTCTCCAGAATTGAGAAGCCTGGAATACAATCTTTTAATATATATATAATATATATATTTAATATATATTGTATTGTATATATGTATATATATATATATTTTTTTCTGGGACTCTCAGAACATTCTATCAAGAAGCTGGAATACATTCTATCCTCTAGAATATATGTATTTATTTGTTTAATCCTAGCATGATTGCATGTTTTGAATTAGATGGATTGGATTTAACTGCTGCTTCATTCCTTTACTAGCTGGCTTTCACTTCAAGATTTAATTTTCATATGCCTCATCAGTAAATGGGAGTAATATTTGGATCCACAAAGTTATTTGTTACTCATAACAAATTACCTCTCAAATTTAGTTGTTTACAATCACATATTTATTGTTGCATCATTTCTTTTTTAAAATTAAGTCATATATGCAAAGATCATGAATACATTTATGCTTTTGTGGGATTCAATGTGTTTATTATTTGTACAAATTGGAGTGCTTACATCCTACCTCATTTACTTAATCACAGTGTTAAGACATTTGTGTTCAATACTTGATGGATTTTATCTGTACCCTTGCAATATGCTTCATAGGTGAGGTACACCCTTAACCTTCCCTCTGTTGAACCACCCCCCTCCCTTTCCATCCACCCTTCCCTCCTTCATCTTGGGCTATAGTCATGACTCATCTCTCATATGAAATTGTGAGTGATTGTAAATTGGTTTTATAGTAGTACTGAGTACATCAGATATTTTTTTTCCGTTCCTGAGATACTTTACTAAGAAGAATATTTTCCAACTCCATCCATGTAAACATAAAAGAGGTAAAGTCTTCATTTTTTTAAATGGTGCATAGTATTCATGGTATACATACCATAATTTATTAATCCATTCATGGGTCAATGGGCACTTGGGCTTCTTCAAAGACTTGGCAATTATAAATTGAGCTGAAATGAACAATTTGGTGCAAATATCTTTCTTGCCAAGTGATTTTTGATCTTTCGGATATATACCTAGTAGAGAAATTGGATATTGGATATATTCCTAGTAGAGAAATTGCAGGATCAAATGGTAGGTCTACATTTAGATTCCTGAGATCTCCAAACTTCTTTCCAAAAGGAACATACTAGCTTGCATTCCTACCAGAAGTGTTCCCTTTTCTCTACATCCATGCCAATATCTGTAGTTTGGGGATTTTGTAATGTGGGCTAATCTTACTGGAGCTAGATGATATCTCAAAGTGGTTTCGGTTTGCATTTCTCTGATGATTAAAGAGGATGAGCATTTTTTTCATGTGTCTGTAGAACATGCACCTGTCTTCTACAGAGAAGCTTCTGTTCATGTCTCTTGCCCACAATGAAATGGGATAACTTGTTCTTTTATTATGAATAAGTTTGAGTTCTCTGTGGATTCTGATTATTAGAGCTTTGACAGAAATGTACCTTGCAAAAAGGCTCTCCCATTCTGAGGGCTGTCTACTTGCTTTAATTACTGTGTTCTTGGAAGTGAAGAAACTTTTTAGTTTGATCAGATCCCAGCAATGTATTTATGATGTTGCTTCAATTGCCTGGGGCAGTCCTCCTCATAAAGTATTCTCCCAGGCCAATTTTATCAAGTATTTCCCCTGTACTCTCTCCAAGAATTTTTATAGTTTCATGTCTTAAGTTTAAGTCCTTTAACCAGTGAGAGTGATTTTTTGTTAAAGGTGTGAGTCTAGTTTCAGTTTTCTACAAGTTGCCAGACTATTCACCAAGCACCATTTGTTAAATAGGTAATTTTCCCCCCAGTTTATGTTTTTGATAGGCTGATCAAATGACAATGTTGATTCTTCCCAGCCATGAGCATGGTATATTTTTCCATTTGTTAACACCTTCAGCTATTTCTTTTTTCAGAGTTTCATAGTTCTTATAGAGATCTTTCACATCCTTTGTAAGGTACACTCCCAGATATTTCATCTTCTTTGGCACTATTATAAAGGGAATAGAGTTCTTGATTGTTTTTTCACCTTGACTGTTGTAAGTATATATAAAGGCTACAGATTTGTGAGTATTGATTTTGTATCCCTGAGACACTTCTGTATTCCTTGATCACTTCTAGGAGTTTTGTAGTTGAGTCCTTGGGATTTTCAAGATAAACAATCATATCATCTTCAAAGAGTGATGGTTTGATCTCCTCTGATCACATATGGATACACTTGATTGCCTTCTTTTGTCAGATTGTGATGACTAAGACTTCCATTACAATGTTAAAAAGCAGTGGAAATGATTGGGCAACCTTGCCTGGTTCCTGATCTGAGTGGAAATTATTTCAATTTTACTCCATTCCACATGATATTGGCTGTGGGTTTTCTGTAGATGGCCTCTATCAGTTTAAGAAATGTTCCTTCTGGGGGCGGAGCCAAGATGGCGGACTGCAGCCAGCTTTTTACAGAAGCTCCCACCCAGAAGGAGGCTGAAAGGACAGAAGCTTAGCAAGTTAGCTGATGGTTTGGAGCAGAGACAAGAGAGAAGATTGAAGAGCGCACTTCAACCTTCCTGAGGCGAGCTGCGACCCCAAAAATACAATCAAAAGGTACAAAATCCACCACCAAGCGGACGGGAGTCCCCTCGCCCACAACAAGGGCTCACAGTTTAATCCATGCAAACAAGCGAGCAGAGTTCAAACTTCCTCCCACTCTATTCCACGGGAGAGACCCGCTAAAAACTGGACCTCCTACCCCTGCTGGCATGCCATAGCACCCTCCAGCCAGACATAAAACTGTAAAACTGTATAAATCTGTATATATTCCCCACCTGCAACATTGAAATCTGAGGAGTCCCCACCCACCCACTCCGAGATCTAGAGGTTTATTACCTATGGAGTCCTGATTCTTGGACATCTCCTTGAGAGAAGTGGAGGGGGAAAGGGCTGGTGCTGTTCTGTGCTGACTGTGGTGCAGGCGTGAGGGGAGGAGAGTCAGCTCAGGGGACGCCAGTGCAGAAACGGTGGCAATCCGAGCGGCACACCATCCTGGACAGCAGCCACAGGCAGGGCTCATTTAACTTTCTTGGGTGGAGCCACAGCCCTCAGGGGGCTAATGCAGCTGAGACAAAGGCAGTGGGTGGACAGAGGCTAGAATTGACACCTGAGTTTAAAGCCGAATGCAACCTCTGATTTACAGAGAAATCTAGCCAGACAGAAGCCTAATTTGAACACGCAAGGCCCCCCTGCTGAACTCAGATTTCTGGCTGATTTTGCCAGGTAAACCCCGGGAGCAGTGGCCTACTGGAGTAAATAGGGCCACAGACCTGGGGGATTACGAGTGACTGGGTACAAGGTCGGGAAGGAGGTATTAACCTTCCCAAACTAACCCATTTGCCAGGTGGGTCCCTTTGCCCTTGCGGAGTACTGGAGAAAGTTATATCTGAACTGCAAGCAGACCCCTCTTATCTAGCTCCCAGAGACATTTGAACTCTTCCACCTGAAATGGGTGCTGACTGGGACAACTGATTTGGACCCCTCAAACCTGGTAGACCACCCAAGGACTATTCAAAGGGGCACCCCAGTGTATGGTTGAGGGAAGGTTTGAACTATATAAAACTGTATATATTCCCCACCTGCAACATTGAACTCTGAAGAGTCCCTACCCACTCACTCCAAGGTTTGGAGAGAAATCTAACCAGACAGAAGCCTGATTTAAACACGCAAGTCCCCCCGCTGAACTCAGATTTCTGGCTGATTTTGCCAGGTAAACCCCGGGAGCAGTGGCCTACTGGAATGAATAGGGTCTCGGAACTGGGGGACCACAAGTGACTGGGTATAAGGTAGGGAAGGAGGTATTAACCTTCCCAAACTAACCCAGTTGCTGAGTGGGTCCCTTTGCCCTCATGGAGCCAGGCAGGCCCCAAAACTGCTTGCTAGAGTCTCATGCCTCATGGGCAGCAGGGTCCTGCTCTGGGTAGGCCCAGTACCACTTGCTAGGGCCGATAGTGTGCTGCAGTGCTGCGGGTGTCCCACAGGCAGAGGCGGAGAAATCCTTCAATCCAGGTAGACCCAAAACAGCTTGCGAGAGACACACACATCCCACGGGGGCCAGGGGAGGTGTTCCCCACTCCAGGCTCCCAAGCTGGCCGGGCCTAGAACTGCTTGCTAGAGCCACGCTTGCCCTGCAGGTGGTGGTGGAGGGGTCTACCACTCTTGGAGGGTCCAGAACTATTTGCTAGAGCCACATACATCCCTTGGACAGAGGTGGAGGAGTCCCCAGCTCTGGGTTCCTGCACTGGGAGGGCACAGATAGGCTTGCTCTTGCCGCACGTGTGCAATGGGCGATGGTGAAGTAGTCCCTCACTTCCCCCCAGCTACTCTGGTGGGGCTGAACTAGGACTGATCTGGTTGCTCGTGTACCCTGTGCTACCGTTGCCATTCCCTTACCCTCTGGCTGCTCCAGGGTGCTGAACTAGGACTGATCTAGCCACTACAGTTCCCCTGTTCCACCCAGAGGGGCTGAACTAGGACTGATCTGGCTGCTGCCAGTTTCCTGCCCCCGGTTGCCCAGCAGGCTGAACAAGGTCTAATCTGGTCACGCACACTCCTGTGCAGCTGCTGCT